GCCTTCTCCCTCTCCAGCCACAGTGATTGGTTAATCTTCCTGCTTAAAATCCTCTTCCAAAAAAGATAAAAGCAACATTTCCTCACTGCAAACACTATAAAAAAAAAAGATACCTAGATCTCCTGGCCTTCCCACAAGCTATAGCAGCTGGTCTGGAACCCTTCCTTGGGGTTGATTCAAAGTCTGTGGCAATTTCTGGTGCACAGCCTCGTAGTTCCATCACACATATACATACATATTCATTTTCAAATCTTTTCCGTGATAAGTTACTACAAGATATTGAATATAGTTCCTTATTCTATACAACTGACTATAAAAATAACTTAAAAAAATAAAAAGAAATAACCCAATGGAAAAGCAAAATGAAAACAAAAACAAAACAAAATTGGGGGCAGAAATAAACTCTCTCCTTCCCCTAAGACTGAGATGCTGGGGCACCTGTTTCCTGTTTTCACACCATTACTGATAATGCTGTCTGAGAAGGGGAAACAAGACGCAATATTCAGGGAGGACCAAGGATGACAGATGGGCACTGCAGTCCACTCTCATCAACTTCTGCATTCCAGTCTCTAAATTTCAAGAGAACGTAGAGCCAGGAGCTGTCCCAGGTGCATGATTCAATAAATCTATTTTGCTGCTGTTGGTTTCACGTACAAGCTATTGTGAGTTGGGTTCCTGTTAGCTGCAAACAAAAGGAATCTCTTGGAATACGTACAGACACGTACTTCCTTATGAACACAGGGCATCTTTCCACATCTTTGTATCATCTTCAATTTCCTTTATCAGTGTTTTAAACTTTTCGGATTATCGTTCCTTCACCTCCTTGGTTAAGTTGGTGCCTGGGTATTTTAGTCTTGTTGATATGATTATAACTGGGGCTGTGTTCTTGCTTCCTCTCTGTGGTGGTTCATTATCACTGTATCGTAAAGCAACAGATTTCTGTATGTCACTCTCGTAACTTCCAACCTCACTGAATTCATTTATTACTTCTAAGAATCGTTTTCGTTTAAGACTTTACGGTTTTCTGTATATAGTATCCTGTCACCTGCAAGTGGTGACAGTTTTACTTCTTCACTTAGAATTTATATGCCTTTTATTCATCTCCTTCTCTTTTCTGACTGCCGTGGCTGGGACTTCCCACACCATGTTAAGTAGGAGTGGTGTGAGTGGACATCTTGTCTTATTCCTGATTTTAGAGGAAACGCTTTCAGCTTTCCACATTGACTATGATGTTAGCTGTGGGTTTGTCATAAACGTCCTTCATTCAGTTGAGATATGTCCCCTCTACACCCACTGTCATCAGACTTTCTGCCATGAATGGATGTTGAACTAAATGCTTTTTCTGCGTCCAGTGAGATGACCATGTGATTTTTCCCTCCCTTTTGTTAATGCGGTGCCACACAATGACTGATCTGCGGATGTTGAACAATCTTTGAATCCTTGGAATAAGTCCCACTTGTTATTGGTGTATGATCCTTTTTATATGTTGTTTTGTCCAATTTCTTACTGTTTTGCTGAGGATTTCCACACCCATATTCATCAGAAATATGGGGTGTAATTTTCCTGTTCTGCAGTGTCTGTTTGTTTGGGCCACTGTTTGTATTACTAGACGGGACCCCCTCACTTAGCCAGTCAAACCCCTTGCTCTGACCATCATTCAAGCTCAGTCAGAGCAATGAGCTAAATTTCTGCCAATGAATGTAACTTCCTGATTATCAGGACGGAACCTCTCAGATATGGCACG